TGTGTGTGTGTGTGTACAAGTCTCAGTAAACGGTCCACCTCTGGGCATAGCTGGGGGGCACGAAGCCAAACACAGTGAGGTGCTACTGCTACGAAAACACCCAGGAGAGACACGGCCTTTGGAGGCACCTGGGAGAGGAAGAAAATTCCTCTGCAGACGGGCGCTTGCCCGGGGCAGGGTCTTCCCAGTCCTTCCTGTCCCCGTCTCGCCTACGGGGAAGATGACTGTATGTCTACACCAAACCACCGGCACACACCTCTGGGCATGGGGGACTCTTGCGTTCTGGCTTTTGGGGCAGAGGCTTTCATCAGGCATTTTCCAGCCGGGCCACCCCTCCCAACGATGATGCAGCCCCTGCCAGGCCATCGCCCTTTTCTTGGGGTCCTTCAGGGCAGCCCAAAGCAGCGGACTGGAACTGCTGTCCTGTCAGACACACTCTGCAAGTCCCGGCTCCTCCGGGCATCGGGCTGAAGGCTCCCTGTGAGGAGGGCCCATTCGCAGGGTTTCCTGTGGTTTTCCATGGCACATAGCCCTGCACCGGCTTGAAGGGGTGAAGGTAGTGGGATGTACCCATGATGGGTGGGGCTGTCAAGAGCCCCTCCTCCACAGGCCCCGAGGACTGGTGTCCCTACACTCTACCCTCCAAACTGGAATATTGTTGAGACAGAAAGGGGCACACTGCCAGCAAATGCTGGTCAACAGGCACAGAGCAGGACGGTCCCAGGTCACTGTGTGCACAGCAGATGGCTCAGCGGGGTGTCAGCATGAAATGCAGGCAGGAGGGTGCCCTCTCACTCGGGCGAGGGGTGCTTCCTGGGTCCACACGCTCACTGCTCTGGCACCAGCAGCAGAGCCTGGGGGTCCCAGAGGGGCCGGTGCTGCCCTCCTCGCCTTGCTGCCTGGAACTGCAGCGTCAGCCACGTGAGGTCTGAGATTCTCATGGACCCTTTGCCTGTCCCAGGGGAGCGTGTGCCCTGCAGTTGCTCCTTGCAGGGAAATGGGGGCAGATGGAGGTGTGTGGGGTGATCCCTAGCCCCTCTCTGGGACCCTTAGGATTTTAGGTGCTGGCTCCTGTGTCCCTATCTTTCTGAGACACTGACTTGGGTCCCAGAAGCCCCCACAGTTCAGGGCTTCTGTGGTGCTGCTTTCTGCCCTGAGCCACGGCTGTCCAGGTTTACAGATGGCAGTCCACGGCCACCATGCCCACATCCTTCTAGGACTCTGGGCCCTCCTCCAAGGCTCTGATACCCCCGGAGCTGTCAGGGATGCTTGGCAGCTCCCGCCTCTGCTTCCACTTGGCTCTGTGTATGGACGTGTGGGTGAGGGCACCCCAGTCTGCTTGACAGCCCCCAGGTTGTGGCCCTACTGGGTGCCTTCACTGCCAGGGCCTACTCTGGCCTATTCCTTGCTGGCACACACTGCTCTTTCTCAGTCCCTCTGTCTCTGGTGCTCCCCGCACCTGGCATGGTGACTGAGACCTGGGAGGAGGAAGGTGCCACCTGAGCAGCTGTCCTGCTCCTGGCTGCCTCCTTCTCTGCATCCTTAGGTTCTTCCAAAGCGGGTGCTCCCCAAGGCTCTGCCCCCAGATCCTCTCTTCTCATCTCCTGCTGTCCTCTTTTCGGGAGACTGCACCCGTTGCTCCTGTCACTGCCACCATCCATGGCGCCATATCCATGTTCCCAATGACCTCTACCTATCAGCACACACCTGGCATCCCCATGCCAAGATCTGCCAGCCCCTTGGGGTTCACATTCCCTTTAAAAAGTTGCTGCACTGCTCAGAAGTTCCTTCAAAGGCACCTCCCTTCTCCCAGACCTGGGCCCCGTGCTGGCGGTGTCAGGACCTCCTGGGCCCCTCTCCCTCCTGTGCAGCTTCCAGGCCCCTCCTCCTCCCAAGCAGACTCTGCCCTCCCTCTCTGCTGCCCCCGCCCTCCAATCCATACTGAGCACATCGGAATATTCTGTTTCCTTGCTTCCTTGCTTGGCCTCTGTCATGTTTTCTTGTCCTTGCCAGATTCCACTCAATTCACCCCACCAGCTCCAGCAGCATCCCTGGGCTCTGCTCTGGGGCTCTCAGAGAGGTGCCCAGGGAGGCTGAGGCAGCACAGACCAGGAGGAAGGAGGACACAAGGCCCCCCGACGCCAAGTCCCCATGCCCTGCATGAGGAGCAGCAGAAATGTAGGATTGAGAAAGAGTTGTGCACGTGCCAGCAGGGAGCAAAGGCCATGGACATTAAAGGATGACCTCCTAGAAAAGGGGGGCATGTGATATGGTCCTCAAAAAAGCGGTAGCCGTTTGCAGTGTTGATGGGAACAGTGAAAAGTTAGAAAAACCTAACACTGAGCAGAAGGCTGGATCCACGCACCGTGTAATACTCTCAAATATCCTGCCGTGAAAGTGGCCCAGCAGAGAGAGACCTCAGCCTCAGCGCTGAGTGAAAACGGCAAACTGAAGGATGATGTGCGTGGCATAGCACCATTTGTATACATCCTAACGACACACAAAACAATATGACATGTTGTTACAGATACAGATGTGTGTAGTTAAGAATAAAAACATATGTACAGGAGTGATAAACACCAGATTTACCTCTGGGGAGGCAGGGGGAGAGAGAGGAAGGGACGGGAGCAGGGAATTTAGTTGTGGCTGGGTTCCATTTCTTTGAAAAAAGAAAGAAAGAAATCTAAGGCAAATATGGCAAAATGCTAACTTCGGTTCAATATGGGTGATTACAGGTACATGGGTGCTTGTTTTACTATTTTCTCCTAAGTTTCAAAGGAAGTTAAAGCAAACAAAGGAGAAAAAGAGGGATGTGGGATTCTGCACACGTGTGGAGCTTTCCCTACAGGGGCCGGCGTGGACCAAGGGCGAGGTGGTGGAGGGGAGAACGAGGGCGCCCAGGAGCAGGGCACAGCCTGGCCAGGGCAGGGGCTGGGGGCAGAGGCTAGGTGTGAGCTTGGGATCCCTAAATCCTGGGTGGGTGGGTGTCTAGTAGGGGGACACCAGCTTCCTCCTTCCCGCTTGTTTGTCTCTTCCTCCAAGTGTGCTGTTTCAAGTCCTTCTCGTCCCCTCCCTACAGCAGCCTTTGGCTGATTTTTAAGTGGGCGATTTACTCATTCCTTCCCCTGTTCTGAGCATCTACTACAAAAGCAATGGTTTACAGGGCACTTACCATGTGCGACAGTTATATTCACATATAACAACTCACTGAATTCTCACAACAGCCCTGTAGGTGTGTGTTATATTACTGTCACCACTGTCTCTATTTTATAGATGAGGAAACAGGCACAGAGGGGTTAAGGGATTTTCCTGAAGTTACACAGCTAGCAGGAAAGTGGCAGAGCCGGATTCGAACCCAGGCCATCTGGTGTCAGAGCCTGTGGTCTTCACTGCAGCACTCATATGCCGGGCAGGGTGCTGAGTGCAGTGGATTCAGTAACGACACAGGCGCCACAGCCCTGCCCTCACAGAGCTTCCAGGCCAGTGGGGGAAGCCAGACACCAAACCAAGCACCATACACGGATGTAATCACAACTGCTGAGCTAGTGGAGGAAGAGAAGCTGTGCTTCAGGGGAGAAAACAAGCAGGACGCAACTGAGACTGGTGGGTCAAGAAAGCTGAAGAGGGAACATTTAAGCCGAGGCTCGAAGGATAGGGAGTTAGCCAGGAGCAAGTGCAAAGACCCAGAGACAGGCAGGAACTCGGGCAAGGAACCTGAGAAGGCCGGAGGGGCTGGAGCAAGCAGGGAGCAGAGGGAAGGGCTGCAAGGCCCTGAGGGCAGAGGGGACATGGCCCTCACCTGGGATCTCCCTTACAGGGAGGGGGACCCTGGTTCGGAGGTAAATACTCACAGCGTCCCAATTTGGTTTGGACAATAAGAGATCTGAAGGTCACCCTCTCATAGGTGATGGCAGAGTCTGGATTTTGTTCTCAGGACAGTGGGAAAGCACGGGGGTTGTAGCAGGAGAGTGACATGTCTCATTTATAATGTATAAAGGTCACTGTGGCTGCGTGTGGAGAGGGCCTGCAGGGGCACAGGAGGGAGGCCATTGTCTCTTTCCTGACTCAGCGGAACAGTGTGCAAGGAAGCAGGCCTGGGAAAGGGAGGGAGGCCTGGCTTGGGCCGGTAGAGGTTACAGCCATGGGCGATGTACTCTGCAAATGTGTCCCCAGAGATGCTGTTCCCTTCTCCTCCCTGTGTTGGTCCAGCCCCGAGGCCCAGACTCACCCCTTCCAAGAGAGGGCTCAAGGGGTAGGAGGAAGCCTCCGGGAACAGCTGCCCACCTCCCAAGACTGCAGAGCAGCTTGTGAAAGAAACAGGAAAGTTCCCCGGGAGTGCTGAAGCACTCAGTAGATGCAAGCGATGACGATTAACAATATTAACTTTCCATTTGACCATTTGCCCCATTCCTTTCCTTCTCAGCCCCACGCAGTTCCCCTCCTTTCCAACGGGAAAGCCCAGGGCACTCAGAGATACCAGCTGGGAGGGTCTCAAAATGAGGCCAGTTTCCAAACGGAATGAGCACTGGGGGAAAGCAAGTGGCTTCTCCCGTCAGCTGATGTACCTGTTGACTGGCCAGGGCTGGCTGCCCATGAATGAATGAGTACACGTGGGCCCCCGCGCTCTGCACCCACCTCCCGCTGAGGGGTATGTACAGGGGACGCATGCACTGCTGGCCCTACGCTGTGGGCAGATGCCCGCACAGATTTCCACGGGCCTTTTATTTTTAGAGGGGTCAGAAGTGGAAGCCCAGGGCTGATAACATTAGAGGGGAAGGACAGAAAAGTTAGAAGTCTGTGAGCCAAGCCCGTTAAGCATGAAGAGCCTCGTGTCTGTCTCCAGTGGTGCGCGCCCAGCTGCCACTTAGAAGACCCCAGATGTTGCTCAATCTGCCTTCCATGGAGGGTCAGACAAGTCTGGGTGCCAGGAAGGCCCCAGCAAGGCACTAACACAGGTTCAGGGAGGAAGAGAAGGGGCTGGTGGGAGAGGGGTCACTCACCGAGCGGCAGGACGAAGAAGAAAGGGAACCAGCAGAGCACGAAGACGCCCACGACGATGGCCAGCGTCTTGGCCGCTTTCTTCTCGCGGGAGAACTTGAGCAGGCGCACCGAGAGTGAGCTGCGGAAGGTGTGGCCCTTGGTGCTGCGCGTCCCGTGCGCCCCGTCGGCGCCAGTGGCCGCCCCGCGGCAGTGGATGCGCAGCACCACCTCCGAGGCCTTGCCCCGCTCGCGCTTGACGCCCGCCTCGAGGCTGCGCGTGGTGCTGCGCGCGACCACGTACACGCGGCAGTACATGACCACGATGACCGCCATGGGCAGGTAGAAGGAGCACACGGAGGAGAAGACAGCGTAGCCTGCCTCCTCTGTGATGCCGCAGAAGCGCTCGTCCGGGGGCACCGGCTCCTTCCAGCCCAGCAGTGGCCCCACGGACACCACGAGGGCGACAGCCCAGAGCAGCGCCAGGATGGCGGCCGCCTTGCGCTCGGTCATGATGGCGGGGTACTTGAGTGAGTGGCGCACGCCCACGTAGCGGTCCACGGAGATGGTGCAGAGGCTGAGGATGGAGGCCGTGCAGCACAGCACGTCCACGGCGGCCCACACGTCGCAGAAGGCTCGGCCAAAGGCCCAGAAACCCAAAACCTCCATGGTGGCCGAGAAGGGCAGCACCGTGGCGCTCAGCAGCAGGTCAGCTACAGCCAGGTTCACGATGAAATAGTTGGTGACCGTCTGCAGGTGGCGGTTGCAGGCCACCGAAAGGATGACAAGCAGGTTGCCCGCCACAGCCGTGAGGATGAATGCTGCCAGGAAGACGCCCACGCCCACGCCCTGAGCGCTCACCACCAGCCCCCCGACGGCCGCAGTGCCGTTCACCTCGCCGCCGGCGCCCGAGCTCCCCGGCTCCCCGGCGGAGCTCCGGTTGTCCTCGCCGCCGCCTGCGCCCACCACGCCGCCGCAGCTGCCCGCGGCCCCTGGCACGCCACCCACCGCCGGGCCCTCCGAGGCGGCCGTGCCGCCCGCGCCGCCCCCGCCGCCGCCCGCGCTGGAGGCCCCGGCACTGCTATCCGGGCGGGGTCCCTCGAAACTGACGCTCAGGAGGTCGCGGAAAGTCATCTCAACGCGTGGCCGTCGGGGGCCGGGCCCGGGCGCAGGACGAGCGACTGGTGGGGAGGGAAACACGGGGCATAGCCGCGGGGCTCCGGATTCAGCCCCGCGCGCGCGGATCCCGTCGGGGTCCTGCCGAAGTTCCTGTGACGCGGAGCGCGGCTGCCAGAAAGCGGAGCTGCCCGGCCCGGGAGGCGGCCGGGGCTCCCGGAGGCCGGCGGTGGAGTCGGAGCGAAGAGCCGGGGCCGGCGACGCGCGCGGCTCTCTCAGCGTGCCCTGGCGAGCCGGCGAAGCGGCGGCTCCGGGCCGGGCGGTGCAGGCGGCGGCCACTGCGGCGCTCCCAACTCGGCGCGGGGGGCGGGACGGAGGAGGGGCAGCGCCAGAAGGGAGGAGGGGGCGACCCGAGCCCAGGGAGGGGGCGCCACACTCCCCAAGAGAAGGGTTCCTGCTCGCAGGGCAAGCGGGTGTGTTGGGGTCCAGAGAGGCTGCGGAGCTGGCGAGCACTGAGGTCCCGCAGCAGCCACCCACGCCTCACCGCAGGTGCCCACGCCCGCCCCCTCCCCTCTCCGTACCCGACACGCTCCCTCCCGCGCGTCTCCCGGACCCCCTCCCTTTTTGCCCTCGGCTGCGTTCCTTTCCTCCCGCCCTCTCCCCAGCCTCTAGGTCTCTAGCGGGTGCCCTTGGGCGCGCGGAGCGTAGAGGCGCGATTCCCGGGTCCCCCGGCTCCTGGCTCCGGCCGCCAGAGAGCAGCAAGCGCCCGGGATCTGCGGACTGCGGACCGGACCGCGCAATGCCGTGGCGGGTCACCTCCTGGGACTGCCTGGACAGATCTGCTGCACCTCCTTCCTTCTCTCAGGCCACTGGTCAGCGCAGGGTTTCAAACCCTTCTGCCCAGTGCGATGGAGAGGAGAGAGCCCGGGAAGGGGTCAGAAGCCTGTGCTGGGCTGAGACTAGGTATGATGGGCACAGAGACAAGAGAATACGTGGCTACAGCTCTCGGACCCTGTCCAAGACACATGGGTCTTCGTATACCAACTTCTCCACTGCTGCTTTACTCCGTATCAGACGTGGGAATAGCTTTCCATTGCTACTGTAAATAGTGGGCTTGTTCTGGGGAGGGCGTCAGTGCTGGAGGGAGGGTGGGAAAGGCCACTTGGCAGGATGGTTGGGGGGAGGGTGTGAGACAGTCTGGCTCCAAATCCCGGCTCTGTCTTATATTAGCTGTTCGACCTCTTTGGGCCTCAGTTCCTCATCTGTAGAATGAGAATGATAGTAGTGTCTACTTATCTAATGGCACGAGGGTGAAATGACTTAATGTGTGTTAGGGCACCAGAGCGATGCCTGGGTTTGTTAACTGAGTAGGGCTTGGCAGGGCAGAGCCTTTCTTGGGGCAGCAGGGAAGTTGCTGGTGGTTTGGGTAGGAGTTCTTACCTGGGAACCAAATATTGGCATTCAGGCTATGCGCTTCCTCACTGTGTGACCTGTGGCAATCTCTGGGCCCAGTTGTCTCCTTTATGAAATGGGGAAATGGGATTGGACGAGATCAGGGATTAAAGCAAGGAAACTCTTTCTTTAAGTAAAGTCTTCACAGAAGCCCCATATAAACAAGTAGATGTTTGTGGAGAAGCTTTGGCTGTAGCAGGGGCAAAATCCTGCTTCTCACCCCTCTGCGCCCCCCTCTTGTGCTGCATTCTGGTCCCCAAGGCCTCCCCAGGGTACTGTGGGCTTCAGGAGGCTTGTGGGCAAGTTGCTGGAGCAGGGAGCCCTGGAGACCTGCTGGCTTTTGGGTTCGTTGTGATTCAGAAGCATGGCCCCTAGTTTAGATGGAAAACTAAGCACCTGTAGCTCCGCTTCTCTCTTATGCCGCCTCTTTAGAAATGAGAGTAAAGAAAAAGGAACATCGTGTCTCACAACTGAGAAGTTAACTCCGAGGCTGACAAACCCTGGACATTAGGCCCTAAAGAAGAGACTTGCAGGACCCTTACAAGAGGTCATGAGGGGATCAAAGAGTTCTGGACTGACCCCTGGCTTGTGACGGTGGCACAGATGGGTTGGCACTGTCAGTCAGGATGCGAATGGGAGACAATGTGGATGGAGAAGGCATTAGTGACAGATATATCCGGTTTGTGGGGACCAGCTGGTCAACACTTAGTCCCCTCCCACCCCAGCAAGCCTGGGAAACTTTTATTCACTCATTCATTACAAGTTAACAAGTTAACTAAGCACTAGCTATACGCTAGGGACTGTTCCGGGTACTGGGGATATAATATCGAATACCACAAAGTCCCTGCCATCCTGGGGCTCACATTCAAATGGCACAAAGTGCTACTGAGAAGAGTTAGGAGGAGAGCCTTCCTGTTGCCATGGACAAAAGTTTTCTCTGGGTTTGATATTTGGATCTTAAAGGTTCTCTTCAATGATATCTTCAAAGAAATCCCAAATCCCAAAGACCTTTTTCCAGCACCTCCACCCCATGAAAGTGTGCAAATTCATGCATGTCATTGGGAGACTTGGTTAGAGCTGCCACTTCCTGCAGTCGGTTCCTATAAAGAATATGGAACATCCATTCTATTCTTCAGCTGCAAACTGATCTCTAGCCCTAGCTTGACCTTTAACCTTATCATGGCCTGACCCTAACCCTGGCTACATCCTAACCCATAGTCCTGACTGACCCATAACCTTCCTGATTCCCTTAGTTGTGTCGTTCTTCTCCAGATACATATTGTGATTCAAGGACGCTGGGTGAAGGGTGAGGGCTCAGTGCCACCCTCCCGCACCTTCAGGACAGCAGAGTTTGGTGCTCAGGGCTGGCCACTTCGCTGTGGTCACGGGGTAAGAAGTATCTAGGGACAGGATGTTGTTTGTACAGGCAGGAGATTCCATCTTCCCAACATCATCCCTATGTCAACAGAGGCCGGAGGGTACTTGAGGCCAGTTATGATTTGATTATTTGTGCTAATATTTGCCTACAATGAATGGAGTTGGAAATTAGTGGAAATGGTAGAAGGCAGCAGTGGAATGATGTTCCTGCTCTGAGCCTGGCAAGCAGCTCACTGCTCTGGGGACCCCTGGGGTGGTTCTTTGCTTTGCAGCTGTGTTTGCTCCTGCTCCTAAGAGGATATTCTTTTGTTTCTTTTTATTTTCTCCTAGAAAGGAAATAAGCTGGGAAGCAGGATATTGAACAAAGTTGGGAGACCCCATGGAGTGGAAAGCTCTCAGGGCAGAGATCAATTGGGTTCTGTTATAACCTGGAATAAGCAACCCCCAAATTTCAGTGGCTTAGCACAATAGAACTTTATTTCTCATTTACTCAAAGGCCAATGTAAATGTACCTAGATGAGCAGCTCTCCTGGGCAATTTCCTCCATGCGGCAATGCAGGGATCTAGGCTGGCTCCTTCCAATGTGTGGCTTTACTATTTTCCAGAGACCTGGACTCCTCTAGAGCCCCAAAGATCTCTTCTGGATTGTCTAAATAAGATGACCAAAGAACAAAAGGAAGAGAGAAGTATGTGGATATTTTGTATGTATGTGTGAAGTATATGGATATTTTAGGAACCAAGCACAACACTTGTGTCTAAGCCCACCCATGCCCCCACTTGGATGCAAGGAGGAAATGTGGTTTAGCCAAATACCCAGGAATAGGGAAGGGCTTGGTGACCATCCAGCCTGTATATGCTGCAGGATAGCAAGAGTCCCAGGAAGACTCACTTTGGGTCTTAGCTAGGCAATGCCTTATGGGTTGTGCATTGTGAAAACAGCAGATAGTTGGTGGCGCTGAATCCCCAGCTGACACTCTACCTAGGCCCTGTGGACACTTTTGTGACTTTTCATGTACATTTCCATCACATTACATTTCCAGCACAGCTTGCTATATAAATAGTTAGAATTGGGAATGCTATTTGGGGATGTGCTAGCAATGGTGCCAATTCCAAACAATTCAGCTCTAGGAATGCAATAGGAGAGTTAAGGTGGGCACCGGGGGATCAGCTAGCATTGTTTTAACCTTCATGGAAAGTAAGCAACCCCTCACTGTAGAAGCCACCCTGTGCCAATGGAAATCTCTCACCTGCCTTTATCATTGCCTGAAATTCCACCCTTATAATCTAGGGCTGCTAACTCCAAGAACCAGTTTGTTTCTCATTACATCAGATTCATCTCCTAGTAGAAATGACATACAAGGTTACTGTCTCCTCCAGCCCCTGATATCTGGTTACCCATTGTGGGATGGTGAGCTAGGAGGAGTGGGGGAGACCTCCGAAGGGGATATTCCGTGGTGATGGAAAGAAAGGCGAGAAAGCTCCAGGGATACACTTTGCGAACCTGACAAATTCTCTGACTCCCAAATGGAGCGGCAAATACTGAGAGAGATTTCCTAGCATAGAATTAAAATAGGCCAGTCCATTCAGAGGAAGTGGCCTATAATCGACTTGAGAGGCCAAGCAGGGTTGCGTGACTCCAATCCCAATTAGGGAGGCTGAGACAACTCCTGCTGGGATGTCGACCTTCCAGCTCATGAATTAGATGGCCCAAAGCCATTTTCCATTTCCTTTCTCCTGCACCAAGATTCAGTCTCTGGAGAAGATGGTGAAAAGAGGACTTCCCTTGATAATGATTCCCTGGAGGAATGGAAGGATGGAGGAAGCAAAAAATCCCAACTGTCCTAGGAAAAAAATTAGGAAGTGAGGCTGCCTTCTCTGCTCCAGTGTTTTGTATGCCTCATCCCTTGGGCTCCTTCAGTTCTCCCTTCTCCTATTCTCTATGGGTTAGTCACTGAATCTCTCTGATCTTCCATTCCCCCATTTGTCAAATGGTGACAACAGCCCCACACCCTGTGGGGACCAAGTGTCTGCAAAGCTCCCATTTACCTCTTCCTTCCTGTCCCCATCGTTTTTGATTTATTCCTCTGTGGAATAGTGTTTGTAGATTGCTTACCTGTCCTACCTGGAATTAGTGAACTTCTTGGGTTTTTCAGTGATTGTGACATATATATCCTTTTGTGCTCAGCAGCCAGTGCAGTGCTGGGCTCATGAAGTTGCTCCCTGGATGTATGTGGAGTCAGTGGATAAAAGCACAAACCAGTGAATGAGTAACCGGATGAATGAGTGAAAGCGTGAAGGATTGTGCACCTGAGTGTCACTGAGAGCGAGAGCACATGTGTCAGTCCCAGGGTGCCAGCCCTTCTGCAGGAGATGACTGGGGAGGGCTTTTGCACATTCCAGGAAGCCTGGCCTTTTAAGGGCAGGACAGAGCACCTTTCTCCTAGGAGGAATGCTTTGGGAGGACCAAGAGGGAGCTGGATCAGAGGGGGACATGCCCCTGCTCCCAATGTGAGAATGACCTGCCCACGGAGTAGAACTCTCCTCTCCACTGTCTGCCATCAGCCCTAGCTAGGAAGCCCTTCCTTGGCGTAGCCCCCTCTTCCATGTAGATGGGCCTGGCTAGATACAGTGTTGCCTGACAGTGGGTTGATAAGTCTGTCTAACCCTGGAACTTGGTTAGCAGGCCCATGCAGGCCTCATCATGGGCCTGGGACTCAGCAGAGAGGTTGGCCCCTGGCAAACTCTGGATTTGCATCTCTCAGGGAGGATGGCGCAGCATACTATGTGGGTGCATTTTTTCCCCTAAGCAGTTGTGGCTGAGGCAAAGATTTGTGTGTAAGTGCATGAAGAGCGAATAATAGGTCGCCAGATTTCACTTCTCTGTAGTAGTAGTACAAATCCATACCCCTTCCATGGCTGCATGGTGGAAACAGTAAATGTTTCTGCCCCTTGACATTGGGCTTGGCTGAGTGACTTGCTTTGGCCCATGGGATGTTAGCAGATGTGATGAAAGCAGAGGTTTGAAATGTGCTTGTGTGGTTGGGTTTGTGTTCCTGTGCTGCTGCCATATTCCAGGTGGCCATTGCGTCTTCATCCCAGGCACCAAAATGAAACACCTGGGGTGAAGCTATCCCAACCAACCTGCAGACATGTGAGTGAGAACCAAATGCTTAGAGTTGCATGCCACTGAGAGTTCATAGTAGTTTGTTATGTAGCAAAAGCTGACTGATGCAAGGAGGAACGAGTCTTTTTGATTTCAGGCCTTGTTGACATTGGCAGTTGGGGAAATTATTCACTGCCTTTAATGTGCAAGGCAGCAGATATTAAAGCTTAATATACATACAGCCTGCAACCTAGAAATCCAGGCTCATGTTCCCCCATAGACATGTATATGTATGTTCTGACAACCCAAAATAAGTGGTTGAGTGATTGAAGCAAAGATCTCAATCAGTGGAGGTTTATTAAGCCAAAGTTTGAGGACATGCCTGGGAAAAAACAAGCCACAGATGCATCTGTGACTGTTTTTTTCTGAAGAGGGAGTTGGGAACTCAGTATTGAAGAGGAGAGGCCTTACAGGAAGAAAAAGGAGGAGGCGGGTGAGGAAAATGGTTGCATTCTTGTGAGGCCCAGGCAATCTGCATTTCACATAAGACAAGGTGAATGTTGGAAGAGAAAAAGGGAGTGAAGGAAGAATCAATTATGTAAATGTTCCTGGATGGGCAGAAGAATGATTGTTCTTATCTTGTCTCTGTTCTGCACCTGGAAAGATAAACCTGTCAACATTATTAGTATGAGACCAAGCACACTTTAGTTTTAGGACTAGACTTAGCCTGTAGACCTAAAGTTACATGTTTCATGTCCTCCTTTATGGGAGGCTAGCAGGGAATTTCCTTATAAGTGATCTGTGAGGGCAGTCCTTGTAGCTGTCTGAGGCGTTTTGCCTTTCCATGGGGTTCTGGCTAATGCATAATGTGAGTAACAGCTATTCATTTGGAAGGGGGAGTTGCATGACTCAGCCTCCAGGCTTGACTTTCCCTTTTGCATAAGGAGTTGGGGGGTGGTGGTTCTGAGATTTTTATTTTCACTTACAGTTCATAGCAGCTTCATTCCTAATACCAAAAGCTGGAAATAACACAAATGTCCTCCAGTACATTGCAAAAGGTTTGAGGAGGGAATGGGAGGGAGAAAGCAGAGGCCGGAAGTAGTCGGGATGCAAAGATGAAAGAACTGTAGGCAGAGGCAAGTGTGGGAGTGACAGTGGACTTTTTCTGATGGAAGAGGTTTGAGTATGTTTCTAAGCATTGAGGAAAGACCCAATAGGGAGGTGGAACTTGAGGGTTCAGGAGGAGGCGCAGGTGGAGGGAGTGAGGTGCTCAGTAGGCAGCAGGGCATGGGATGCTAAGCCCAGATGCAGGCATTTGCTTCAGAGACAAAGTAGGAAGGGGCAGAGAGTAGGAAGCAAACAAAGGTGAAGACGGAGCTGTTGGGAGGTTGTTGGGAGGAACTCCAGAACAACCCTGCCTGGTGGGGGCGGTAGGGAGCAGGGGAATTGAAAAGAGTGATGAAAATTTGTAATAACCATTGTGGGAAATGAGAAAGGGACAAATAAGATTGTCCAGGGGCAAATAAGATTGCTAAGCAGCCCCAAAGGTCCAGCTGAGAGGTTGGAAACCAGGAAATTGTGGTTCTTTCTAACAAGGTCCCGCAACCTGGATATGGAAGTTAAGACAGTGGCCCGCCCTGTGTCTGGCATTTTATGGTACAGGAAGCTTGAGGAGCTAGGAATTCTATGTGAGAAGCACGTGTTGGACTCAACATTACATTCCTGCTTTTTCTGGTTGGTATAAGGAGATTTTTGCCCCAGAACCTGATGGGTCTAGAGGATCGTCGAAGTCATTTAAAGCAGATAGGTGAGACCTTGGAAATTTCTCCCTCCACTGCTCCAACCAGAGTGGCTCAGCTGCTATCTTTGGGGAAGACTGACTTTTTTTTTTTTTTTTTAAACAACCTTATTGAAATGTAGTGGATATATAATTAACTGTGCATGTTTAAAGTGTACAACTCGATCCATTTTAACTTATATATACAGCTGTGAACCCCCCACCACAATTAAGATAATCAACATGTACATAACTCCCCACATTTCCTCATGCTCCTTTCACTGATCTGCTTTCTGTCACTACAGATTAGTTGCATTTTTAACAATTTTATACAAAGGAAATCATATAATATGTACTCTTTCATTGGCTGATTTCTTTCATTCAGGTTAATTTTTTTGTTGAAGTTGTTTCATGTATTGATAATTCATCTTGGGTTGCTGAGTAGTGTGTGTATGGGCCACAATGTGCTTACCCATTCACTTATCGTCGGACATAGCCAGTGTTTGGCTGTTACAAACAAAGCTACTATGAACATTTACATACAAGTCTTTGTATGGTCACATGCTTTCATTTCTCATGAGTAAATATCTGGGAGTAGAATGGTTGGGTCATATGGTAGGTGTTCGTTTGATTTTTAAAGATCCTGCCAAACTGTTTTCCAAATTTATTTTATCACTTTAAATTTCCACCAGCAGTGTATGAGAGTCATAGTTGCTCCACATCTTCTCTGACACTTGCTGTCATCAGTCTTTAAATTTAGCCATTCTATTAGGTATGTGGTGGTATCGCATTGTGGTTTTAATTTGCATTTCCTGATGATGAACTATTAAGGTGCTTATTTGCCATCCATGTATCTTTGGTGAGGTATCATTTCAAACCCTTTCCCCCTTTTTTTGTTCTGTTGTAGGTTTTCTTGTTTATTAGGTGTTGGAGTCCCTGCCTAGCAAATTTTAAATGGATGCCCGACATTGTGGATTTTTACCTTTATGAGTACTGGATAATTTTTGCATAATTATAAGTATTCTTGAACTTTATTCTGGGATGCAGTTAAGTTATTTGGAAATAGTTTGATCCTTATAGATCTTGTTTTTGTGCCTTGTTAGGTGGGGCCAGAGCAGTGCTTGATATAGGGCTAATTTTGCCCTATGACTAAGCCCTATGACCAAGACCCTTTTGAGTACTTTACCTAGTGGTCTGTGAGTTGTGAGGTTTTCCAGTCTGCCTGGTGGAAACAGGCACTATTCAAGGTCAAGTGAGAGTGTTGGGAACTATGTGTCTAAGGCTTTAGGGTCGCTACCGCCAGCTTGGGTAGTTTGCTCACATTCATGCACTGATCATTGCTTGGGTAGTTTACTCACATTCATGCACTAGTCATTGCTCTGCTGAATGTTCAAGGGAGGGTTTCCGCACATCTACAGGGCTGTCCTTCCATGCAGCTGTCTCCTCTGTGGTACTCCATCCTACATATCCTAGCTGCCCTGGTTCCCGGGGTTCTTTACCTGGGTTCTCACCTCTGGGAGTTTCAGGACTCCCCCTGGTGCCTCTTCTCCTTGATTTGGGCAGTAATGGGGGCAATTTTAGAATGCACTTTGTTTTCCATCTTTCAGAGATCACTGTCCCTAGTTACTAATGCCTTGAAAGCCATTTTTTTCATATATTTTGACCAGTTTTATGTTTGCTTCTAATGGGATGTAAATCTGGTCCTTGTTAAGCAATCTTGGCTGGAAGAGGAGTTCTGATAAGACTGCCTTGGAAAAAAGCTTTCTGTATATCATAAGTTCCCCAGCAGCAAACCCTGACACAAGGACCCATGTACAGTGACTCACCCAGGAGAAACTGGTCAGGTTTGGGACACAAGGAAGAGGAGGAAGCCAAGCAAGGGTGTTGTCCCCTGCAGCACCCCACAGAGGGTAGCTTTAGCCAGATCCTGTAGGGGACCCCTGAAATGTACGTTATATCTCAGAGATGTCTCCAGGAGAGCAAAGGAGCTGGCTTTTGTTAGCTTCACATTCATTTTTCAGTCATTAATTCAGGGATGTTATTTAATAAAGGCCCAAAAGTTATAGTTAAGGGCTGGGACACAGAAAATTTTGTGGTCTATTTGAAATATCTGCCATCTGTGTGGTGTGTTTACTCTGAGGAAGAGGTTGAGCAAAGGTGGGAGGGTTCATTAGAGAAAGAGTAGCACCCGTATCTACCAGCCTTAGTCATCCAGGATTTTGCATCGGAGGTTCTGACCAACATGTGTACAATTGGTCTAGGTCTGATAACCATGGGTCGCATGCACCCAAAAGAATTCTATTAACACATTCTTCTGTGAATAGCTGCTGGTCTTGTCTGGGTTTAGGGAAATCCTTAATTATAGTTATTAATTCATCTCTGGTCCAAGGTTTAAATTTTACAGTTGCTTGCATGTCTGACTCGTGGGAAGGATGTATCTTTAGAGGCAACTGGCACTTAAGGATCATAGGAGCTGCTGGGAAAGGGAAGGGGGCTGGACAAGGGAAGAGGAGGGAGGAGTCGACAGAGGTGTGGAGGGAGGGAGAGCAGTTAGAGGGGTAACCGGGAAGGGGGGAGGGCTGGATGTAGGGAAGCTGCTGGAGGACAGGGGGGGAGGACTTACCAGGAAAATGTGTCTAGTCTGTTGTTGCTTAAGTTTTTGGAATTGCTCATTACCTTTGACCAAAGAATTTTTTAGTGAAGCATTTTTTATATTAGAGTTTCGTTTGGAGGCCTCTGCACACTGATCAAAATATCTCATTCTCTTTGTTTTTTTAGGGTGCCTCTCAAATGAACAATTTTGCTGAAGTCACATGTTCCCCATGGTGGCCATTGAAGGCCCAAATGATTTTTGGTGGAATTAGGCCATTTAGAAAGATTAGGCACAAGAATTAGGATTCTAATGAGTGTATATATAACAATCAGGAGCTTTTCCTGGAAGAGGAGATGATTTAGATTCAGACGACCCTATGAAAGCCTTGGGCACCTTGTATCTTGGGCCCCCAGCCTGGTGGTTGACTGTCTCCAATGAAGACCTGACAATTTATGTTCCCTGCAGACAACCAGAGAGAAGATTCTCTCTGGACAAAAGATGGAAGGCAAACCTTACCTAATTTTATTGGTGACTCACAGCAAAGTTTGTCTAAATGGATTCTGGTCCAGTGAGAAGCACAAACTCACCAGTCTATGAGTCTGGCTTAATCAACAGGCCTGTGGGGTCTATGCCTGTGTTCTGCCTGTGATTCTCATTCTGTGACAAACAACAATTTTGACAGCACAGTACAAAATGGAAGAACAAAAGAGAGCAAAGGAGAGGAAAAGGAATGGTCTGATTCTACCAAGGATGCAAACAAATGAGAATGAATAACAAAAATTGGGTATGAATCGAATAACAAATAGCTGAGAACTCAATGCAAGGACAGTGGAGTGCAGACCCAGTGCTGACTTAGCACACTGGGATGGATTTGGTAAGCCGTGAGTAGCAAGGCACAAGGGACCTCTACAAATACCACCCCTGGGCAAAGGCTGACGTCTGTGGTGATGGGCAGTGTAGACGGTATCTCAGTGGGACCTCCAGAAAAACTGCAGAAATAAATGAAAACCACCCAGATGAGGAGAAATAGAAGCTATCTATTCAGAACTTGCTACAGCAAAGGAGTCAACCACCATCACCTGTATTTGGCAGGGACTCAAAGGCAGGCAGGGACTGAGAAACTTTATACTGGGAGGAAAAAAAAGGGGAAGGCTTCAGGTGTGCTGTGATTGGAGGCTGTTGGCACAGGGACAGAGAGGGGCTGACTAGTAGAGGCAGATCCTATGGGATTGGTTGGGGAGCATATTTGGCTCTCTCTGATTGGTCCTGAGTTGAAAGCAGGGGCAAAAAATTGGGAAGCTAGAAGTCATTGACTAATTCCTGACCATGCTGGGCTGATTACTATAGGAGTTTGGCTTCTTGGGCTGGTTGCTGCAGATTGTGGGTCAGAGTTCTGTTGTGAATGATCTGGCTACTGTCCATTTGTATATTAAGTCTCTGAAGAGGTATTGGTGTCTTGCTCCAGAAAGTTCACAGTCTGGGTAAGGTAATGAGATGTACGTTCAAAGAAAAGATTGTTTGTAGGATCCATATGAGACCAGGCTGAGGGGTCAGGCTGTGGGTAGAGTGAGCCTCGGGCTGTACTCAGATGAGGGGTTGGGCTGTGGGTAGGCAAGTGGCCAGAGTAGGGCAAGGGGGATGGTGAGGAACTTCTTTCTGAAGGTAGGTGCCAATGCAGGGCTGACTCAGTGATGCTGGCCCAGTGAGCCCCATCTCCAACCACCTCTGATTTAGGGTCTCTTTCTACTTTCCTAACATCTCCTTTGGCAGTAAGAGACCTCCCCTAGCTGCACCGGGTCCCCTGGAGGAGGACTTTCAGATATATTCTAAAGTTGGGGAGGAAGGAACATGGCTTCGATAATAGGGGGCCAGGGTGAAATTACAGCCTGCAGTCTCTCCCTGCTGTGTGATAAAAGCACTATCCCACCTGCACAGGAAGGTGCTCTGAGAGTCATACATCCTCTGACAAGCCAGAACTGCCCCTGTGCCATTGTGTTAAGAATCAAGGTGCTGTGACACCACAGACCTCCCAGGTTGGTGGGGGAGTTAGGAGATGGTGGGAATAATAGGGGCTTTGTTCCTTCGTTGTGCTGTTTAATGCATTTCCTTCTCCTTAAAAGGTTGGCTGTAGGAGTAACCACAATCCATGATCCTGTTTAGGGTGATTGAATTGGTGGTAACCTCATTTGCTGTCTTGCCACAGAACCTAAAAGGCCACATGTATTGCCCTACTCTTTTGGGTTGAGCATTGCCTCCCACATCTTCATTCATACCGCACATATTTATTACAGGTGTAAACTATGAACCAAGTGCATTGCTGGTCGCTGGGGATAAAATGTTGAGTAAGACACAGCCTTGACTTTCGTGGATCTTATAGTCTCTTATAGGAGACAGATGATAAGAACAAAAATGCATCAAGGAACACACACAGGGCACCCGTGGTAGGATAATGCAGGGCTGGGCAACTTAGGTGGGGTGGAGGGGGTGGCTGCCAACTGAGATTGGGTTTTGAGGAAATGCCAGGTTCGTGAAGGGCAAACAAGTGCACCTTAGGCAGAAGAAAAGCGTGTGGGAAAAGTCTTGGTGTCCCTGGCACCAAATGAAGGTTGGTGAGCTTAGAGCACAGAGGCTGAGGACTGAGGGCATGAGGTGCAGCTGGAGAGGAAGCTGGGGGTCACCTGGAGACACGGAAATCATGAACAGGTGCTGAGTTTTATCAAATACCTTTTCTGCATCTATTGAGGATTTGACTTGGAAACAAAGCAGAGCCTTTGGAAGTCTCATGGTACTGAGAAGATAAAAATGAATTTCCAAGCCCTCCAGTACAGAGAGACCTTAGCTGAACATCCAGACTTTCAGGTGAGACCCCTGAAGGGCCACACCTTAGAAATAAAGGTAAACTGAAATAGATAAAGATATAAAAACCTCTACTCTGCCTTGAAGCATCTCAACCTCTGATTGGATTAAGGCAATTTCCTCTACTGTCTGCCAAAAGCAAAGGAATTGTAACATAATGCAAAGCTCTTTATAACTTGTCTTAAACAATGCCTGATATTCAATCAAAAATTACCAGGTACATCAAGATAGCAAAGCAGTTAACTTGAAATCAAGGGGAATAAAAGACCCACAGGAAATCCAAATACTGGATTTGTCAGACAGATTTAAAAATAATGGTTGGTATATTTAAGAATATAAGTGATAGGCCAGGCGTGGTGGCTCACACCTGTAATCCTAGCACTCTGGGAGGCCGAGGTGGGTGGATTGTTTGAGCTCAGGAGTTGGAGACCAGCCTAAGCAAGAGCAACACCCCGTCTCTACTAAAAAATAAATAGAAAATAAATTAGTTGGACAACTAAAATTATATATATATAATTAGCCAGGCATGGTGGTGCATGCCTGTAATCCCAGCTACTTGGAAGGTTGAGACAGTAGGATCACTTGAGTCCAGCAGTTTGAGGTTGCTATGAGCTAGGCTGATGCCACAGCACTCTACTTAGGGTGATGGAGTGAGACTCTGTCTCAAAAAAAGAAAAAAAAAAAGAATATAGGTGATATGATGAAGAATTTCACCAGAGTACTGGAATCTAATTTTTAAAAAAGAAGAGAAATTATTATCTGAGCTTATCTGGATATTTAATTTATATTTTCCATCCCCCTCCTTTTGCCATACTATTTTAAAGAAAATCCCAGATGTTACATCAGTTCATCTGTAAAAACTTCATGATATTTTAGTTTTTCCTAACGTAACACATGGGTGTTATAGTAATCCTTTTAAACCTGTACATATATGGTTTTGGATTCTTTGATATGTTTTCTTACATTTTATAATTAAATGAGAAGGGTGGTATATATTCACAGTCACTATTTCCTGTAAACACTCCATCCCCACCAATTCTAACCCTCTACCCTCTCCAAATATTCCACAAAATGGAATTTTTTATTAAATTTTTTCCCTTTACCCATCCTTAAGTGATGCAAGAGAAGAATTTTTAATTTTCTTTCTCACCTCAGTTAGATCACTACTCCTTGACCACTTTCCTCTCCCTTTCCTGCTAGGATATAGTTTAACTGTAAGTGGACTAGATAAAAGATTTTAAAAATGTTCTAAGACTTCTGAGGTGAGCTTGGTTTTTAATTTTTATTTTATTTTTGTGTGTGGAGATGGGGTCTTGCTGTGTTGCCCAGGCTTGTCTTGAACTCCTGGCCTCAAGCAATACTTCTGCCTTGGCCTCCGAAAGTGCAAGGATTGCAGGCATGAGGCACAATATCCACCATGTATGTTTTAAGTAAACTTTTTACTAAGGTATAACATATATAGAGAAAAATCCACAAATCACAGGTAAACAGCTTACTGGGTTCTCATAAAGTAAACACACCTGCGTAACCATCACCCAGATCAATCGACAGAATGTTTTCTCACTCCTTTCCTATGGGAGACTCCCAAGGGGCATCTCGACCTTCTCAACTGCCTGGGCCTGGTGTGGCCCCTTGGTCAGGGCTTCTGCACCTTTCCATGGCATCTTCTAGAAATTGTTGTTTCCGGTGTAATGCTTGGAACTTCTGGAGTATCTTGGGACCATGAGATGACCCAGATTGACAAGTTGCCATGCTGGGGCTGGCAGAACAAAACGATGGAAGGAACCTGGGTTCCTGATGATTGTGTTGAGCTGCTGAATCAACCAGACCTGGAGCTGCCATTTTGTCATGGAAAATAATAAATGTCCTTATATACTATTTTGAGTTGGACTATCTATTATTTGCATCTGTAAGTATCATAACTGACACCATGAGGCCAGAGGAAGTTGGGAAATGTACCTATTTGCCAGACATATCACCATCCCAACAATTTAGGGATTTGCCACTAAATGCATATGAAGAGATACATATATAGATGTGTGTGTGTGTGTGTGTGTGTATGTGTCCACATACTTGTGTATATATTATCTCTGGAAATATTCTAAGAAACGGATAATGATATTTACCTTGTGTGGAGAAAAATGGCTCAGGGGCAAGGTTGGAGGAGAGACATAATTTCCACTGTTTGCCTTTTTCCCTTTTATATCCTGTGCATGTATTATCTGTGTATTTAAACAAGACAGAAACTGAATAACAGAGTTAACATATATGTTGAAGGTAGTAGAGAACCCAACTGACATCGTAGAAATAAAATTGCAATGGAGAGGACACATTTAGAAAAACCTCCTCGGTTGTAGGCAGCAGGTTAAAGAAATGGAATTGACGAGAGAGAGGATGGCAACTCCTGAAGGGAAAGCAAGGAACCTAGGACAGAAATGGAAAGGAAGCAACGCTCAAAGCCATAAAGTACTATAATACTTTTCTGAGATGAGAAACGATGATCAAAAGAGCTGAACCGTATTGCAATAAAATAATAACAAAGAGCCTGATAGTTCAAGGCATCCTGGTGAAGCTTTCACATTTGGGTATATTGGAAAATGCAGTTCAGTCTGGATTTAGATCTCTCCCTGATAAAGAAAATGGGATAAATGCTACAGCATCATTTCTCAAGCAGAAGTTATGCCCATTGTGGTTTTGGGAGACTAGGTGTGCCCCGAAAGAAAGATACCTTAATCAAACACACTTGGGAAGTGCTATAGACTGCCTTTGGAAATATACAAAGCCCATTAACTTAGTAAAAAATAAGTGGTGTATCTTCATCTGCTCATATTTTCCAATAACAAAAGTTATGCCTTTATGAACATCCATAGAAAGTTCCTTGTTGTATACTGCTACTTTGGGAATTATTCATCAGTAGGGTTCCAGGATCCTGACCCAAGACTTCTTTTTTCCACTAAGTTGTTCATATATAAAGGTAACAGGACCTTATGTATTTATATTTGTTTATAGCCTATATATGCAGTCTTAGAAAATGTATCATTCCATACAACCCTCCTTTAAGGATACTGCCGGTAAGAACTCGGGGGCTGAGTTACTGTGCAGGGTTTATGGATTTATGGAGATGGGAATGGCCAGAAGCAGTGGGGACGGTGGAGACAGTGCCAGGCCAAGGGCCAACAAGGCAGATGTTCAACACAACCCAAGGTGTACTTGTTACTAGTGATCTTCAGCCAGTAATCTTAACTTTTAGGGTCTAAATTCCATCATCTGAAAAATGAGAAAATAATCCCCACTTCCTTAGGCTGCTGGAGGATTAAATAAGATAATAAATATAACATTAAGCTCAAAAGGAGAATAAAGATATGTATTATCTCAATTTGTGTTCTCCAAGAAGCAGACCCTGAGATAAGAGTTCAAGTATAAGTAGTTTATTTGGGAGGTGATTCCAAGAAACACTAGTTGGGAGTGGAGAAGTGGGACAGAGAAGGGGGACAGGCAGCCAACAAAGGTGTGCTGCTGAGCCAGTGACCACTGTGTGCTATCAAGCTCGATCCCCCTGGGGAACTCTGTGATGTGACCTAGCACCTCAGTTACCCCACCAGTGGGGTGAGGGAGGCGGGGTATGTATATACTCATTCCCATCTGTCATTGGTGTGGCCTGCTGGGAGTGGGTGTTAGTTCCCTGTCACTCTGAGCCTGCCCCCTGCTCATGCAGGGAGAGTTCCAGCCACCCAAGGTGAGCCCCTAGGAAAGGAGTTGCAGGTGCTGGCAGTTGGAAGTCATGGGAATGGTTGGTTCGAAGGGGATATGAGTGGAGCACTGATCTACTGCATAAATTACCCTCCAAATCACATTACAGTGTGCAGATAATCATCATCAAAGTATATACATTTGGGTAGAGATGCTTTTGTGTTTCCAAAACTCTATTTTCCAAATATTACCTCAAGACCTACCTTGTCGTGGGGACAGGTTCAGCCCACACTCAACTCTGAACTCCTCTGACCCAATGGCATGGCCTCAGCCCTTCTCACACTTGTGGGTCTTGTCCTTCTTGACACCCTCTTCTCCTCCCCTCCACTAACTCCCACCTGCCTGTAGCAAGGGGTTGGGAATGCACAGATGCTTGAGAAAGTCTTGTGAGCAGGTAGGATTAGATTCAGGATGCAACATGGTTTTTCACTCAGATATTCCCATTTCCATCCAGAAATTTCATTTTAGGGCCAGATACCTCCTGAGGAGAGTGGTGTGTTAGGGAGGCCTGCAGAAATAATAAAACTCATGAATGATAGCCAAACCTCTTCTTAAAAATTAGATATCATCTTTCCCCTCAGCAGAACGCTTAGTGGAACTGCTCTCATGGATCAAAATCAACTGGCCTGAGTTTCTCCTCTGCCACTCTGAAGCAACCCTCTTGGGACATTCATGTTTGAAAAAACATCTTCTTATCTCAAAATCTTATCTCCCCTTGGATGCCAACCCCTCATCCCACTGGTCCACATCTCCTGGGTGCCGGCCCCTCATTGTCAAGGCCAGGTCTCCTGGACCCTTTTCTGGTTTGGCTGACTGTCCAGGTATTTCCTTTTTTTTTTTTTTTTTTTTTACCTAAGCCATGTGGGGACCTCTCAAAGTTGTTTCTTAGCTGAAGAAGTTGATCTCCTCAACAGAGACATCCCACTGGCCTAAGACCTGCTGTGAGTGAGGGGTCAAAAGAGAGATGGGTCCTCCCTGCAAGAATTTCTGTCTTCACGTCCCTCCCCTAAGCCTGGCATCTTGGAGTCACACTCACTCCTGGGAAACAATTAAGGGCCTTGATTTTTCCATTGTCTTTTTTTTTTTTTTTTTTTGGTTAATGGGTGGTGAAAGCCCCAGAAAAACTCAAAACAGTGCCTAGAACAGCCCACTGCTGCACGTTCTCAAAAACACCAGTGATCTGCTTGTGGCTTTATTTTTTTGATAATGTACAAGAGAGCTGCCTGCATTTTTTCCCACTCAATTGAGTGACTTTTTGATAGATCTGACTGGTTGTTTTGGCATCGCGTAGGCACAAACTCGAGCTGGGGCTCCACAGAGGCGGCGAAATCAGACATGAATAATACTCATAATAAACCTTCACAACATTTGAAATTTTCCAAAGAACTTTCCTGCACATTTACCTCGTTCCATTCTACAGCGCCTGAGACACAGACAGCACCGGCGCTATTATGGCGCCCAATGTTCTGATGGAGGACCGAGAGGCCCACAGATGGGGTGCCAGCTTGTCCCCAGCCCTGGGCAGACCTGGACTCCTTGTCCAGGGCTCTTTCCACACTGGGCGCCAGGAGAGAGTGTCTGGTGGAGCCTACAGGGCAAGAGGCTGGGGCAGAGACTCCTCAGAACATTAGCTTGGGTCGGGCCAGCTGGGGTTCAGGGAATCAGGTTCTGGAAAGGGAGGCAAACACCAGGGTGTTGGACACCAGCCTGGGACTAAGACCACAACGAGGTCTGAGCCAGCCCTGGGACTTGCAGGGGATGACACTTTAACAAGCCTGCAGGGCACATTGCTTTCTCATCTCCTAGGGCTGGTGCCAGGCACAGCTGTGCAATGGGCACACTCTGTCTTCAGCGTCCCTTCTGGGCACCTGCTCTGCCATGCCAGCCTTTCTATAAACTCCCACTGGCCCCGGCTCTGTTGCTCTGACTTTCTCTTGCAGGCCTCTCCCTTCCCCTGGCCAACTATCTGCACCTACCTCATCCCCGGGGCAACTCCCTGCCCCATCTCCCCCTTCCTGGGATCCAGCTCTTTTCACTCATGGATGTAACAAACGACTTGCCAGAGAACACTTCCCCAGGCCTCAGGTAAAACGCATCTGTTTCACAGGAGCCTTCTCGGGATGGTGGTCCCGCTCAGGTCGGCCCAAGCTATCAACCCGAAATGTGTGCTTCCCACTGGCCTTTCCTTGGGGGACCTGCTCAGATACTGCCTCCTCCAGGAAGCCTCTGTTGATTGTCCTGGTCCATACTGATCTTGGGCTTGTGTGACCTACTGGGAAGCTGGATTGATCGGGTTGTGATCTCTAGCTTCTGTCTATTCTTCCTCCTCCTCCTCCTCCTCTTCCTTCTTTAAAAAAGCAATGGTAGTTTATTTGCATGCATGGCCTGTGAGAACGAGAACACTATGCTTGACTTCCTCCCTCCCTCTTTTCTTTTTGACAAATGTGAAGTCCATTATATTCCAATAAGAAGCTTAAGTATTTTCACTTAGTGGTAGGAGATCATACTTTTCTAAGCAATCGAATGATTATTTTTCTCAATATAATTGCAAAAGATCATAAGTGAACCCTCATTTGTTCGTAGCTGATGCCTGTGTGTCAGCTCGCTGACCGGGAGCTTGCTCCAGGAGAGGGTCTCAGCAGGGTCTCTCTGATCGTTCCCCTCACCCCCCACACCCTTCCATCCTCAGCCAACTGCCATCTTCACCCTTGTCACTCTGCCTTTCCAAGTCCAATTCCCATGCAAATAAATGTTCTTCCATCATCACGTTCTTCCCAGAAAGGTCCCTCCACCTTCTTGCCTTGAGCAATAAATATGTCACTTTTCACCAAACGTGCAGGGTGTTGGATTCCAGATATCACTTTTATACCATCTCTTTATAATGCCCTTGAAAAAGCGTTCCTCTTTTTTTGAGATGTACGCCACCTGCTGTTCCTCCTACTCACTGGAAACCACATATTTCTGGTCATTCTCCCTGTTGAGGGGCCTCAAAATCCTTAGCCCCCTTGTCCCTAGACCAAATCATCCTCAAAGTGTCTGACCTTGAACCAACCCAACCATCCACCTCCACTCCTACGCCAGCCT